CTACTCTCCAAAATAGGAGTCCATCTCCGTCTTCTCCAAGAGGGGTCTCAAGGGAGTTTTGGGGTCTGGTATAGTTCTTACCCCAAACTCTGTAGCTCTGCTGCTGGCTCTCTCTCTCTCCCTTTCCAGGAGTCCTTTCTGCGATGCTGCATGTCTCTGTTGCGTCTCCGGTTCAGGTCTTATCTGTCCTGGCTCTGTGCCACTGTTTCTCTGGTCAGTACCGGCTGCTGCTCTGCGCCCATGGAGAAAAACATCTCCCAGCATAACTACAGACACTTAGTCCAGTCTAGCACTGTTCCAAGTCTCTGTAGCCCCCAACTGGGGCTGGGGGGCCCCGGAGGCCCCGAGGGGCTCAGAGCCCCTTCCTCGTGGCTCTACAACATGGCCACCTTTCCAACCACAACAACCAAACTACAACTCATCTCTTCCGGTGCTTGTGATATGTTTACATTTTTGCAGGAGCGCCCATTGGGCAAAACTTCAAAACTTCCAGGTGTTTCCACCCCTTGGGGTCTACCACTTTTCAGCCTCTGGGGGAAAAACCAAGGTCCAAACCACCACATATTTCAAGGATCTTAATTGTCATAGTTCCTTCTCCATAGTCTTGGATTTTGCCAGTTGTCAGCAATATTGTATTCAGTTGTATCTTAGTAAATTCAAATCTCCAGCTTTAATACTCTTCTAAATAAGACAATAGAACTCATTGTGGCAGAGATAGTGCTGGGTATTTTCTGTGCAGAAAACATATTTTATGAATAGTAAGTTTAATAAGAACTTGAAAGTTAGCCATTATTCACATTTGAGGTTTTAAGTATTTATGCATTTTCAAAAGAAAATGTCCTGTTCCTCTCACTTCTTTAATTCCACCCATTTATAACACTTCTAAATTAGTCTTCTTTTACAGAAAATCTGATTCATTGATTTTTGTTCTTTTAATGATTCTGGGAGGAGAGGAGTTCATGCAATAAAGAATTTGATTCCTAAAGGAAAAAAATTTGGCTTGAATTGTGTAAGAGAAGGAAGAATGGAAGGAGTAGGTTACAGACTAATTATAAAAGTCATAGAAGCTATTCAATGGGCATGTAGGAGTACAGGATCTCTTATGAGTGAGTGCAGACCTGCCTGTTATGGTGTGCTAATTATCACATGACATTTTGTATATTGCCAAAGGAAGTAAGCCTTTTGGTGCTGAAACTCCAGGTATGGGTTTTGTTTATGATGGTCCATAGACTTGTGTGTAATGTACCCTAGTTTCTAAACAGTGCATGGGAAGTAATGCTTTTCTCCTTCACAGGTACATCATGAGAACGTATTATTAACACTTAGGGAACTTCAGTTGAAGTGTAGGATGAAAAGACCTTTATCTAAAGCACTGATTCTTGCATGGCTTTGTGGATTGTTAGGGCTCAATTGATAAAAATATACACCATGTAGCAAATTCTTGGTTTTTTTTATTTCTCATTGTGATACTTAGATAAAACAGTTTCGAATTAAATACACTTAAATAAAAATGGTGTTATATTTAATCCATTTCTTAGGTATGGAAGAGTTAATTATGTGCTGGCTCGAAGACTTGAACTTCTACGAGAAGTTGGGCGACTACAAGAGAGTCTTGGAGTCCCAGGAGATGTTTCTTACACTTGTGAAACAGCTGGCCACTTTTTCTTATACCAAGTAAGGATTGAAATACTTCTACATAGACTGTATGACCTAAATATGTTATGAAACACTTTGTAAAAATTGCAGTGAATTTTTCAGAGTTGAGTGTAAAAATAAAATGCTTTTTCCTTGGTGGTTCACAATACAATACCAGCCAAAATTAAAATTGCTACATGACTTGCTTGTATTGCTGTTGTTTCAAATCCTGCCTGATGACTCACCAATTGAAAGGTTAGCATGGCTGCCCTTCATGACTGCTGGCAAGATTCTAATCTGAAGCTTCTCCTTCAGATAAGAAAATCTGTGGGCTGCTTTACATTTTCGACCAGCACTGGTCTTGATGGTCCTGCTAGAAGGCTTTTATGGCATTAAATGCCAATGTGAAATCAAATGTTTAGTGTACAAAATGGTGATTTTTTTTTTTTGTATACTGTGTATCCCTTATTTCCCCTCCATATATTTTTCAGTGACACGTCTACATTAGCAATTAGTGTTGCATAAGAAGACGTGTAGAGTAGTACTTAGGATTAAATGCATCCACTGTATATGTTTTTACAAAAGTTACTCTGGGCTAGCCTTAGTGTGGGTCTTAACATAAATGGACATTAGGTGTTGAAGTGTGCTGGGAGCACTGCTAAAGCTCATCTTCTGGCTGAGTTTCTTCCTAAATGAATGCCAGTTGGTATTTAAACCAAAGTACTGTAAGCGGAGATAATAAATTACTTCTGTACTGGGCTTATGTGGCAAGGTTTTGGTAGCGGGTGACTACAGGGATGATTTCTGAGAAGAGGCCAGGGAGTGCCCTGCGCTGGACACAGCCAGCTCCAACAGACCCACCACTGGCCAAAGCTGAGCCCATCAGCGACACTGGTGGTGCCTCTGTGAAAACCTCTCTGAGAACAGGTCAAAAACCACTCTGCAGCAGCTGAGGGCAGAGAGGTAAGTGTGAGGAACAACCCCATGCACCCTAGTCAGAAGGAAAAGAAGGGGCAGAAGGTGCTCCAGGCACCAGAGCAAAGGTTCCTCCGTAGCTCAAGGAGAGGATCATAGTAAAGCAGATTGTCTTACCTACAGCCCATGGAGGACTGTCTCAGAGTAGATGAGTAGCCCATGGAGTACCCCACGCTGAGCAGGTGGATATGACCTGAAGGAAGCTGCAGCCTGTTGAAATCTCATACTGGAACAGGGGAGAAGTCTAAGGAGGAAGAGGTGGCAGAGGTGTGGTGTTACAAACTTTACTGACAGCACCATTCTTTCTGCACTGCTCAGCTGGGGAGGAGGTAGAAAAATTGGCAATGAAGGAGTGAAATTGAACCTGGGAAGAAAGAGGGAGTGAGAAGAAAAGTAGGTTTGGTTTTGGCTTTGTTGCTCACCATCTTACTCTGTTTTTAATCAGCAATAAAAGAAGATAATTTTCCACAAGTCAAGTCTTTTTTGCCTGTGGTGCTACTTGCTAAATGATCTCCCTGTCTTTATCTCAGCCCATAAGCTTTTCCATCGTTTCTCCCCGTCCTGTTGAGGAGGGAGAGTCAGAGATGCTCACTGTTTGGGGTGGGAATCAGGCAACCAGCCAAGTTCAACCCACCACAACTTCGAAAATGTCATCCTGACCCAACTTCAAATGCTAATTTAGATATACCTTACTTTTGTGATATTTTTTTTTTTAATGCTATGTATGCAAGCCTACACATTGCCAAAAATTTGGTGATATAAAACCACGTCAGTATGACACTTGTCTTTGCCATAGGTAATGTCTCGCTGGGAAGAGTATATCAGCAAAGTGAAAGTTAAAGGTGGAAAGTTGCCAGAGGTCACAGATGTCTCCAGTTTGTTTCCTTTTCACCAGTATTTTGCAAATGCTCCTCAACCAGTTTTCAAAGGCAAATCCTATGAAGAAGATATGGAAATTGCTGAAGGGTGTTTTAGACATATTAAGAAAATATTCACTCAGCTTGAGGTAAGACGTAACTGTTAAAGGTAACTGGATCTGGCTAATCCTATAGAAAAACTTTACATGGTTCCAAAATTCTCATTTGCCCAACATCCTAGAAGAAATATATACCTCTAGGCAGCTTCATTAGCCTGCAAGGTGAGAATTTCCACCTTTGAGTGGTATGTTTTGTGATAGAGATATGGGTCTAATCTCTTTTAATTTGATCTTGGGAAGCAGCCATTCTGCATGTTTCATTTTCACTGATTAGGTTACTAGGATTGGTACACCTATCTGTCCTCCCCTGATCCTTACAGGGTCTTTGTATTTACAGTGAATTGCCTTTAATCAGATAATCTGTTTAAGTTACTTTTAGGTTATCTTCTATTTTTGCCAGAATTGCTTGAGAGGCTTTTCAAAGTTAGGGCAAAGGTGATTTTTTTGTATCATTTAGTCATATTAATGATACTGAATTTACTTCAGTAAAGTAGGAAACAAAATTTTGGGGGATTCTGAGAGGGTTCCTCAGAATTAATTGAATAATTGTCTGCAAATTTTTATATGCACACATGTTCACAGAATTCTTTGACAGGTTTTTAAAAGATTGTTTTTGAAATATGCAAAACCTGGAAACCACAGTAAATTATTCAGATTAGATTGATATCAGTAGATACCTTCATAACTTCCTTGTTTAATTATGTTAAGAAGGTGGCCAGATAGTTTGAGTGGATATATTTTATAAGTTATATTTTTTTTGTATTTTGACTTTCAAGAATTTTCTTTTGTCCTTCATAGGAATTCAGAGCATTTGAACTTCTCCGCAGTGGCCTGGATAGATCCAAATACCTGTTGGTGAAAGAAGCAAAAATCATTGCCATGACTTGTACTCATGCTGCTCTGAAACGACGTGACCTGGTTGAATTAGGCTTCAAGGTAATGATTATACTAGTGTTACTATACTACTTGATTTTAATGTTGGTCCCCTCAGCCCTGTATAAACCTTTTTATCTGCCCTAAATCTAGGCAGCTAGATTATTTTGAGTTGCATTTTTTTACTAGTGTGTTTCAATTTGTAATTTTACTGAAGAAAAATGTAACTTATGTAAGATGAAATAATTTTCAAGTTCTTGTATATATGAAAAATGCTTAATAGTGCATTCAAAAAAAAAGTTAGTTTTGCTATATTCAGTGATAAGCAGCAGTGATAGGATTAATAAAATAGAGGCAGAATTGGGATGAAAAGCATGGCCTTTAGAACTTTAGTTACCTAAAGAATTAACCATTTGAGGAAAAAGAGCCATGATGCAATGCTGTTTTCACTCTGCAGTGGTAACCATAACTATTAATTCAGTGCAGACTTTTTTTCTGACAAAAGCCAGACACCAGTAATTCTTTCACTGATAATGCAGTGTATTGGATCACAAAATGGCTCCTCTTCAGCTTCAGTGCAAAGATACCGAATTAGTTTGCTCCACTGCAGAAAGCTTTTCTCTTGTGGATGGGTTATGGCATATAGGAAGATGTAAGCCCTGATTGGTACGGATGGATCTGCCATTGACGTGGTAGGATTTCATCCATTTGATAATACTGATATTTTGTCTATTCCTGCTGTAACTGTTCCAGCCATCAAAAACGGAATGAATAATGGTAGGCTGAATAACTACATTAATTTGTATTTCTATCTGTATGGACATCTCTTTACTTTTTTTTTTCTCAGTATGACAACATCTTAATGGAAGAGTCCGCTCAGATCCTGGAGATAGAAACCTTTATACCTCTTCTGTTGCAGGTTAGACTTGAAATATAAAACATATTTCAAAAAATTATAAACAAGAGTCTGTGTTCTTGAACAATAGTGAATATTAAAATGGAAAATATCTTGTGCAGAAAGTAACTCAGAACTGATATTTGCTATTTGAGTAGGCAGTAAGAACTGTCACATTGATTATGAAATTATTTTATTTAGTGAAATAAGCATCTTACATGTTTTTTTAAATGCTTGAATGAGCATTGAATAACCAGCTACATCAGGCCGGTGAGGGAAAATAAGTGTATATGAGAAATGCAGAAACTGAAGAGTTCATGTAATTAAAGCAGACTGTTTCATCAGAGAGGCATATTCTGGGGGATTCCATTAGTATATTTACATGAGCCATCCAAATAATCCTTGAAAATTGAGTGGGTTTTTTTTTTAACGAAACCTAAAGATCTAGGCTTTCAGAGTAGCAGCACTTGATTTCTTCAGTTGCAATTCAGAAAGAAATCTTTAAAAACTGCTTTGTTTGGTGAGCTCTCTGTCCAAGATTAAAATTGCTGCTAAGAACAGAATGACTATATAGAATGCTTGGTCTTCTCCAAAGCTGTAAGCTTTTGGGAGGGGGTGAAAAAAAAAGAAAGATTTCTTTTTTTCCATGCCAATAAAAATAATTTTCATACTCTTTCTTATTAAGGCATTTTCAGACTTGATGAGTTGGACAGTCCACAGTTCAGTTTTCATTCCTTGCTGTCTGATCAGAAACGGTTTCAGAGCTCTTCCAATTCAAGTGACAAGAAAAAGAACTTTAGGTTCTGTCTGGAATAGTGCTCCCATGGGGAAAGGAAAATATCACAGGAGTGTGTAAGAAATGAGGGTCTGGCAGGTGGAAGTCTTCAGGATTCTAGTTCTTGGATAATGTTACCCGCACAGTCTGTTCCTTTTATGTCCCTATATTTTTTCGTGAGGTCTGTCAGTATGTAACATGGGTGCACAAAGGATGGTACAGAACTGGAAGGAGATATACGAAACATACTGAAGAGAATTCAGTCCAAGAGCCAAGATGAGAGAGAATTAGTTAGAGGCACATCCTGGTCATGGAAGAGGCCATGTGAGAATTACAGAGGTAAAGAGGTGAAGCACATGAACTACAGAGACACTTGAAAGGCAGGTTAAGTCTGTGCCTCAGACATCTGAGAACTTAAACTGTTTCAGATGCATCAGTCATCATTCAGATGCTTCATATTCAATACCTCAGAATCCTGAAAGCAAAGTTCAAAGGACAGTTCTGGAGTAATACTGCTATGGAGTAACCAGGTTTTTTTACTACTCTAGTGTCTATAATTGTAGTTCTTCCTTTTGTTCTCTGACAATGTGTTACTTTTGGCCTTTAAAGCAATGTAATATAATATTTATCCTGATATTTCTCTACTAATTTTAGCAGATAAAGGTACCTATTGTTTTATAAGAAAAAAGACTTTATTTAGAATTCTACTCTCTGATTGGAAAGAAACTAATAGTCTTTAAAATGACTTCAGTTCAGTGTAACTTAAATGTTGGAATTTAGAGATTAGACAAAGGCAGCCAATTTAACTATTAATGTGTTTTAATTGAGTGCCTGGATTATATCATAATAGTTACAGTAGTTTAATTTTTTAATTCTAGAACCCTCAAGATGGATTCAGTCGTTTGAAGCGGTGGATTATGATTGGTGACCATCATCAGTTGCCACCAGTCATTAAGAACATGGCTTTTCAAAAATACTCCAACATGGAGCAGTCTCTTTTTACACGGTTTGTTCGTGTTGGAGTGCCAACTGTTGATTTGGATGCGCAAGGAAGAGCAAGAGCGAGGTGAGACAGCAGATTGCATGTCTAGCTTGTATGAAAATACCAGGTTAAAATTGGGAGTAGTGCACATATAATTTTGGAAACTTTATTTTTTATTGTTAGGACAGAAGTTTGCAAAACTGGAATTTAGTTGTTTTGTTCTATTTTTTTCAGCTTAGACTAGGAAGGCAGAGTTTACTTTGCTGAAAAGCAATCAGATTTCTTTCTTCATTGTTATTTTTATATAGTAATATTCTGCTGTTGCATGAGTACTTCAATGAAAATTATATTTAAAGGAATTTAATATACTTAAGTGTTTGGGGTTTTTTACAACTGAGACTTCTTTGCAGAAGCTTCCTTTTCTAAACTAACATTTAATGTATTCAAGGTTAAATAAAGATTTGATTTATTTAGCGTTGAGTATATATTTCCCTTAATTCTGTAAAAGGGTACTTTCCTTGTAGTATTTCAGCGGAGCTGCATCTTTCATTGGTATCATCTAGATTGTCCACACAAGACCATAAAGCCTTTTTTATATTAAAGGAGATACTGCATCTCTGTAGTAAAATAACTTTTCTTTTTATCTAAGTATTTGTCATTTCACTGTGGTAATTTAAATATCAGATTTATTTATAGTGTAAATTGCATATTTGTGGTGTTAGATTAAGAAGGAAAAATAAAACCAAATAAGAGAAAATTACTCTATATAAAATCTTGCTTCTTTTAAGTTTAGTGGTAAATCTTTATTTTAGGCATAAAATGTAGTTAACAATATGAAGGAGAACATTTTTTTTCATGTAGGATGTTGAGAGGGTAGAATATTATTTTCTAGTCTTATGAATGACAGTTTAAAATGCAAATTCTATCTGAGTATAATGGTAAATTACATTTATTTTGCCATCTACTATTTCACAACATCTCAGTGAATTTTTTAGTGGTAAGAGAGCACAAGAATTCCTTCATTTCGCAAGTAATTTTTTGATCAAGGATTTTTTTACATACCTTCCTA